AGATGGAGATTCAGGTCTGCACCCAGCGCTGCACTCATCCCCCTCTGCAGAGCTCTGGATCACTTTTTATTTCTCTGTACCTGTTGCTGAAGGTAATATGCTCAATAATCCTGGTTTTACACAACCTCGGAGAGAGACAAACCTGGTACTCAGCATTGTGTTCGTGGTTCCTTGTGCCCTGCTACCAGCTCTGCACTGCTGCAGCTCCTGCATGGCACAGGGAGCGTTCCCAGCAGAAATTCCCAGCCCACCCCACCTGGGTGGCACCTGAGCGTGTGCTGAAACCAGCAGCAAGGGGAGACTCCCCTGGACGGCAAAAACATTTCACTGCGGTTTTCCCCGTCTTTGCCAAGGCTTAGCAAACACTGATTTAATGAAGCATTTCAAGGCCACGGGGCCCACAAAACCCCAGGGTTAACCTGCAGCAGCAGGGTGAGGAGGGCACCAGTGCAGAGCCCGGCAGCTCAGAGCTGGGCTGCGTGCAGGGTGCCAGGAATGCAGCGCACAGCACGCAGCATCCCAAACTCTGCACCAATTCCCTGCTGCACCACAGTCCATTTATAGCAACATGCTCATGCATTTTGGTGCATTTCACTTTGCTCTAGGAGAACGAGGGTGTTACCGGGAAGGATTTTGGGTTTAGGCTTTATCAGTGAGCCTAATCTTAACAGGACATGGAGATAAGAGCAGAGGGGCAGCGTCTCAGAGAAAACCTCTGGCTGTCCACAGCTGCATTTGTGCCCTGAGTGCAGCAGCCTGGGCTGATCAGCCCTGCTGTGCTGCAGCACTGGTCAGGAAACTGATAGAACTGATAGAACTGATAGAACTGATAAAATTGATTAAACTGATAGAACTGATAGGACTGATGGAACTGATAAAACTGATAAAATTGATAAAATTGATAGAACTGATAGAACTGATAAAACTGATAAAACTGATATAACTGATATAACTGATAGAACTGATAAAACTGATAGAACTGATAGAACTGATAAAATTGATAGAACTGATAAAACTGATAGAACTGATAGAACTGATAGAACTGATAAAACTGATAGAACTGATATAACTGATAAAACTGATAGAACTGATAAAATTGATAGAACTGATACAACTGATAAAACTGATAAAAATGATAGAACTGCTAAGACGGATAAAACTGATAGAACTGATAGAACTGATAAGCAGCAGAGCAGTGCCCGTTGGGAGCCCCAAGGCTCAGTGTGCCATCCCTCATCAGTCAATATTTATCTAGGACACAGGAACTATCAAACCCCAATCAAGTACATTTGGGGAGGCTTCACTTAACCATGACAGCACTTCCTACTGCCTGTCTTGTGTCTCCCTCATGTCACAGGCCAAGAGAAGCAATTTCTGTCAAAAGCTGTCAGTGCCAGCCAGGCAGCAGCACCAGGTACCCACCCTGGGCTTCTTTCTGAAGTAAATGAACCAACAAGGATGGGTTTTCTTAACACCACAGGCAGAGAGGAGGCAGCCCCTGGCCCGAGAGCTGCCTCTGCTCCTTGAGCAGGCAGATTCCAGCCCATCTCTGCACATTTCCAGCTTCAGCAGTGGGAATCAGTCGTTGCTTTGTGGTTGTTTCTCCTCAGCTGGGACAGGCACAAGCCACTCTTTTGGTTAGTGCAGCAGGAGCCCCCAGGAGGCACAGGGATGTCTTTGGTCAGCAAAGCTGCCTGGTGTGCTCTGCTCCCTTGCACAAGAGGAACCCCACGTTTCCCCATTCTCCAAGGAAAAAACAGCATTTTTAGCCCAGAACCTCCACTTCCACCCTCATTCAGTCCAAGGCTGAGGGAGAGGCAGGAGGCAGCTTGTCCCAGTGCAGGAGCACTGGGAAGGTGCCAGCACTCAGTCTGTAATCTGCTGATCCAGCCGAGGAGAGCATCACTTCCCCAGAGCAGGAGGCAGATGCAGGCACAGCTTACTGGATTGATCACTTCTGGTGGGCTCAAGCAGAGCACCGGGTGAAGATGGGCTCTCCTCCTCCCCACCCCAGCTCCTTTCCCCCTGCCCTGCTTCCAAGGAGTTTCCAGCTGCTCCTGGCTGCTGCAGGGTGCCAGAGGGCACCCCCAGTGCAGCAGGGCTGTCACCTGTCCCGGTGCCAGGGCTCTGCCGGGCCACCAAGCCCTGCCTTGGTGCCAGGAGTGGCTGGGGAAGCAGCAGAGAGGGGCTGGCAGGAGGTGCCATCCTCGCTGCCCAGCCCAGCCCAGCCCAGTGGCATTCCCTGGGCAAGGCTTTTGCCATTTCAAAGCCACAGTCTGGAGAGGAAAGCCACCAAACAACAGGAACAAAAGCTGCTAAGAGGCAGCTTTACTCTGATGCTCTCTCGCCTTGGAGTGTCCCAGCTGTACTTTGGTGCTGAGCTCTTCAAGAGCCCAGCTGGCCAGGCAGAAGCCCAGAGCAGGGTCTGGGGAGTGCTGCTGCTGTGTGGGTCAGCTTTCCAACCCCCAAAGAGAGTTTGGATGCACAGAAGTGGCATTGCTTAACACCAAACCGAAGCATTTAAATCTAAACATCCTGAACTGGGCTGGAGGCTGAGCACACCTGAGCACAGAGCAGGACCTGTTCAGCAGGTGAGCCCTCCACCTGCCCCAGCAGCCACAACAAAGCCCCTCTTTCTTATTCTGCCCCCACCATCTCAGGAGCCGCTGCCACATCTCTGCAGCCTGCTTTTTGGGAAGCCACAGACAGTGATTTTATTTCCTAAGAGCTCCAGCTGCTGTCCAGCTGTTCTTTTTTGCTTCACAGCAGAAGTTAACAGCTGTACCCAAAGCCAAGTGAACCTGATAGCCCAGAACTCCTTTCCTGGGAGCTCATCCCCCAGCACAGCCCCTGCCCAGCTCCAGCAGCTCTGCAGCAGCACGCAGGGCTGCCAGGACACCAGAGAACCGAGGAATTAAAGCATCCCAGAAAGGACTGTCGTTTGCAGCCACACCAGCAGCACGCAGGGCTGCCAGGACACCAGAGAACCGAGGAATTAAAGCATCCCAGAAACGGCTGTCGTTTACAGCCACACCTGCAGTTCTCTGGCACTAAACCCCTCTGCAGAGGCTGGTCAGTCTGGCAGGTAACAGGCAAGTTTCCTCACCAAAACCTTGCCCTGCTGAAGCTCACTGTGCCTGCTCAGAGCAGTGCAGATTTCCACTGCAATGACAAAACAGCCTCTGGTCACTTAAGTTAGTTATCATTATAGAAGAGCTGGAAGGTGGGAGTAGTAGCAGTAGCTCCAGCAGCACGCAGGGCTGCCAGGACACCAGAGAACCGAGGAATTAAAGCATCCCAGAAACGGCTGTCGTTTACAGCCACACCTGCAGTTCTCTGGCACTAAACCCCTTTGCAGAGGCTGGTCAGTCTGGCAGGTAACAGGCAAGTTTCCTCACCAAAACCTTGCCCTGCTGAAGCTCACTGTGCCTGCTCAGAGCAGTGCAGATTTCCACTGCAATGACAAAACAGCCTCTGGTCACTTAAGTTAGTTATTATTATAAAGAGCTGGAAGCTGGGAGTAGTAGCAGTCATTTAATGTCTTCTGTTGAGAGACCACGTTTTCAGCTCATTATATGATGCCAAACTTTAAATACTGAGGCTGAAACTGTAGGGGTGGTTTGCTTTATGCAGTCATTTCTTTGGAAAGTTGGAAAAAAAAAATAGTGCAGCTATTTCTGAGCTGAAGGTCAGATTATAAAATAGGTTTTTTGACCATGTTAAAAATATCTCAGCTGTTTCATTAAGGAGCTGTAACATCTCATAATTTGGGGCAAGTAAGATTTTGTGAGGATGATGGTTTGGATCAGAATGTGCTTTTGTCAAAGCCTTTTCAGACCTCCTGAGCTGTGTGTGCCTTTAAGGGAAAAAGGTCCAGTGTGACAGATGAGACATGTGATGGCAATAAAGGCATAAAAGGCAGCTAGCAAGGAAAGGGGCATTAAGGAGACAGATGTTCTCCAAGCAAATAAAAAGCTCTGTAGGAAAAAGAGCTGTTCAGGGTGGTGTTTAAAGATGGTGTTTGAGAGGAGAAAGCATTAAGCTGGAGAGGACAGCTTATCAATTCAGAGCCCCTATAAACCCGGGGCAGAGGCTGTGTTTTGGCATTGCGGTGGAAATCTGTTCCACAGCAAGGGGTTCTTTGTTTAGGAGTGGGGGAAACGAAGCACAAAAGTGAGTTTGCTGCAGAGGGGCTCTGCTGCCCCTCGGTGCTGCAGGTGCCCCTGAGCTGGGCTGGGCTTTGCGCTGCTCTGAGCAGGCAAAGTGAGCGCTCCTAGCGCCGGTGCTGGGCGGGGTCCGTGTCCCCCGGGGGGATTCTGTGTCCCTCGGGGGGCTCTGTGTCCCCGTGTCCCCTCGGGGGGTTCGGTGTCCCCGTGTCCCCAAAGCCACTCAGCCCTGCGGGTTTTTTCCTCCCGCCCGAGCGCCGCCACCGGGCGCGAGCCGCCGCCAACCACAGAGTCTGCGCGGGGCGGGCGCGGCCGCGTGGGCGGCCGGAACGCGGGTGGAGGGATGCGGATGGAGAGATGGGGATGGGGATGGGGATGGAGGGATCGGGATGGGGATGGAGGGATCGGGGATGGAGCGGCGCTGCTCCCGGCCCCCCAGGAGGGGCAGGCACGGACAGAGGAGCCCGGGCCGGGCGCTCCCTGCGGGCACAGCCCGCTCCGGCCCCGCTGCCCGCAGCCCGAGAACCGGCCCGGCCTTCCCGGGGCCGGGGAGCGACAGCGCCGGGGGCGGGGGCGGCGGGCGGGTCCCGCTCGGTGCCCGGGAGCTGTGACAGCACGGGGATCATCCCTGTCACAGGTGGGCTCATCCCTGCCCCCCATGGGCTCAGCCGTGCCCCCCATGGGCTCATCCCTGTCACCCGTGGCTCATGGCTGCCACAGGTGGGCTCATGGCTGTCACAGGTGAGCTCATCCCTGCCCCCGATGGGCTCAGCCCTGTCACCCGTGGCTCATCCCTGTCACAGGTAGGCTCAGCCCTATCACCTGTGGCTCATCCCTGTCACCCGTGGCTCAGCCCCCCCGTTCCGTGCTCTGCCCACGCACTGGGCCAGGTTCCTCACGGTCCCCTGTCCTGCTTTTCCAGGGTTTTGGAAGCGGTGCTGTCACGATGCTGGGGCCAGAGCACACGGAGTGAGGCTGAGTCAGAGCCAGAAGGGCCAAACACGAATTCGTGCACCTCCCAACTTGCTTTGAATGTGAGTCTCCTCATTAAGGCTCGGATTTCTCCAGAAGCTGATGGTGAGGTCATTCCTGCCCTGCTGTTTGCACGTACAGAACACCAGTAGGGTTTCCCCAGTCCTCAGAGAATCCCAGAGCCCTTTCCTTGTGTGCAGAGCCCTGTGGGATCCCCAGGCCATGCTGATTTTCCATAGAACCATAGAATATCCTCAGCTGGAAGGGTCCCACAAGGACCATCCAAGTCCAGCTCTTTTGCATTTTTTCCCTAGAAATGAAGTGAGCTCCTGTGGACGGGAGCTGCAGTGGCTGTGCAGGGGAGTGCACAGCCAGGCTGCTGGGCCAAGCTCCTCTGTGTTTTATGTGGATCAGGCCCAGGAGTGTTTTCCTGAAGCCTGACAGAGTAACTTTGTTCTGCCTGGCTGGGGGATTTTTGGAGTGTTATTTTTTATTGGGAGCAGTAATGATTAGCTGATATGAAAGCAGTAAACAAACACTGCTGGGTTTACTGAGCTTATTCCGTGCAGTGTAGCTCAATATTTTGCAATTGGGAGGGTTGTGAAACTGCCTGTCTGTTGGTTTGGGAACACACGTGACTGTGGCTGAACCTGCCAGGAAGTTCCCTGGCTAATTCCCATTTTTCCATGGGTCTGGAGCAGCATGGCCCACCCAGAGCCATCCCATTCCTCGCTGTGCCTGCCCCAGCCAGCACAGCAGGGCTGCCAGGGTGTCAGTGCCTCTGGTTCCTGGGCAAAGGTTGCTCAGGAAGTGCCAATACCCCTTTATTGCACTGAGGAACTTTTGTCATCTGTGTCATAACCCCACAGCAGGGGAAGGGGAACCAGAGAATCATTTATTCTGCAGGCAGAACCTCAGCAGTGCCCCTTGGCAGCTGGCTGGCTTCCCTCAGTGGGTCCAGGGAGCTCAAAGAGCGAGGAGAGAAGGGAAGGAGGGCAGACAGCCACGGCACAGGGCTGGGCAGAGAGCAGTTAAACTTACAGACTGCATTTCAGCTGGGTGCAGCTGTCTGGGAGCAGGAATTGCCACCCTGCCTGTGTTTTACCTGCTCACAAACAGCAGCCAAAGGCTCCAGCACAGCCAGCAGGGCAGGACTGCGAGCACGGCTGTGCTGGGACCTTGCTGGGACCTTGCTGGCTCAGGCACTTTTGGTTTTTTCTCTGTTGTAATTGGCTCTTTCCTCCCGTTTTCCAGGAAGGGAACAGCCTGCCTTATCTGTCCTGCACACCTGAGCACTGATCAGAGACACCCAGTCACAGGAGGAGCAGGATCTGTGCTGGGACAGGCTGGGCAGGAGAAACATCTCCAGCTGCTTTTGTGGTCTCTAAAGCTACAGGTGAGTCTGCTGGAGAGAAACACAAGATTTCTGCAGACCAGTTCAAGCTGCAGACAGGGAGAGATATCCAGATGTTGCTTGTAGTTATTTAGTTATCATCATTTATTGACCAGAGCTCAAAGTTTTTAAAGTAAAGAACATTGTGTGCTGTGAGGGCTCTGGTCCAACTAAACACAGCTTATGAAATGACATTAAGGGAAGGAGATAGCCAGTGTGAGAGCTGCTGATATAATACCTGATGTAATGAGAGCAGCACAGTGGTTTAGTCACCCATGCAGGAGTGACTAAACCTCTCTTCAGTGACATTACATCTCTGGAGATGCAAAGTCATTGCTGTGTTTCTCAGTGTAAGTGCTAAATCTGTCTTTTCTCTTAAAAACAATTTAATTTTGAATAACTACGAGTGAGCAAAGGGACTTCTTGGCCTGGCTGCAGTGGTTTGAATGGGCACTGAGTGGAGAAGGGCAGAACAGGACCTGCTCTTCAGTGGTGGAGGCTGCAGGAGGCAGAGCACAAACCCCAGGCTGTCTCCTGGCCACAGACACAGCACCATGAGGCAGCATCTGGACTGGCTCACATCAATCTGAGGGCTGAACTTCTTCCCCAGAGCTGGTTTTTTATCACACCAGTCTCCCAGCAGCCATTAGAACCCAGTTCAGTGGTGGGGCACAGGAGCCAGCAAGTGAAAGAAGAGGAGCCTGGGGCTGCCAGTGCTCGTGTTTGTCCCTGAGCTGCTGTGACAATATTGACATGAAGCCATGCCAAGGCAGCCCAGCAGTCCCAAGCAGGATGTTGGAAGCAGGATTCAGTGTGCACGTGTGCTCGGGGCGCAGGCAGTGTGCTCCTCTGTGGCCAGCTCTGAGGTTTGGATGAAAATGGGTTCCAGTTTGTTTCCCTGTGCAAAGGCACTGACACCCCCTCAGCTGTGGGAACAGTGCTGCCCAAGGGCCTTCAGCACACACTGCCTTCCACTTCTGGTGTGCAGAAGGAGGCTGCAGGTTTGTCAGGAGCCCAAATTACTGCCTTGATTCAGATCAAGGGGAGGAGAGGCTGTTGGGTGGAGGCGCCAGGCAGAAGCCCCTGGCTCTTCTGGGGGTGCAGAAGGAGGCTGCAGGTTTGTCAGGAACCCAAATTACTGCCTTGATTCAGATCAAGGGGAGGAGAGGCTGTTGGGTGGAGGAGCCCCTGGCTCTTCTGGGGAAAGCAGGTACTTTGTGTTGTGTTCTGCAGTGCCACAGCATGGAATGATTAGTGTTTTTATTCCTGCCCTGTAGTGTTCCTGGCTGCCCCTCTTCTCCCCAGGATGCTGGGGAGGGTGCTGTGCACGGTGTTGTTCGTGGGAGCCCTGCCATCCGCAGCTGCAGCATCCCAGGGCCACATCTCCGTGGTCCTGCTGGGAGCCACGGGCGACCTGGCCAAGAAGTATTTGTGGCAGGGTCTATTCCAGCTCTACATGGACCAAGTGAGCAGTGGCCACAGCTTCACATTCCACGGGGCTGCCCTGGCAGCTCCGGAGCCGGGGCAGAGGCTGATGTTCGACGTGCTGAAGAAGCTGTCCTGCCCCCCGGACCAGGCTCCCGACCGGTGTGCCGTGCTCAAGGACCAGTTCCTGAAGCTGAGCCAGTACCACCAGCTGAAGACCGCCGAGAACTACGCAGCCCTGAGCAGAGAGATCGAGAGCCTGCTTCGCCAGGAGGGGCTGCAGGAGGCTGGCAGGATCTTCTACTTCTCCGTGCCCCCGTTTGCCTACACGGAGATCGCGGGGCACATCAACGGCAGCTGCCGGCCGCGCGCCGGGGCCTGGCTGCGCGTGGTGCTGGAGAAGCCCTTCGGCCACGACCTGCGGTCGGCCCAGCAGCTGGCTGCACAGCTGGCAGGCTTCTTCAGGGAGGAGGAGATGTACCGTGTGGACCATTACCTGGGCAAGCAGGTGAGCAGCCCCCGGCAGCCGGAGGGGCTCGGTGCCTGGGAGACTGCTGGTGGTTAGTTCTGTGTTTGGTGAGAGCGTTGTTCCCCTCCCGAATCCATGCTGAGCCTCTCTTTGTGATCCAGAGCCTCCATTTGCTCCTGGAATCCTGTGTCTCTGTCCTGGGAGAGCAGAGATGTGCAGACCAAAGCAGGGCTTCGTGCTGTTGGGGTGGTGAGGGTCCCTTCTGCAGAGCAGGGCTGGGCTCCGTGCCTGGAGCAGAGATGCAGAACTCCTCTGGCCTCCTCCCCAAGGTCAGGGCTTTGGTTTCGCTGGGTAAGCAGCACCTGTCCTCTCCCAGCTCCACATCTCATTCCACACAGGCCTCTCTGCTTAGCCATGGCTTCTGGAAGCACTCCTTCATTTGATATGATAAGGAGCTGATGGGATGTTCGTTCTGGGGGATGCTTAGGGAAGGTTTCTTCCTGCCCTGAAGGGCTGTCTGCTGCAGGTACAGCTCAGGATGTGGAGCTGCACTGTCCCACAGGGAGTGTGTTCAAGGACACGCCATCCTTGTTTCTCAGGAATGTGGTGCCACACTTTAAAGCAGCCTGTTCCAGCCAAGGCAGTGTGGCCAGGTTTTACTCAGAAGTTGCATGTCCAGCTCTGGAGAGCATCTCCACAGAGAGGGGGGATTTCTTCTGTTTTGTTTTAGGGGTTTGTCTCCCCAAAAGAGCAGATGGCTTTAGTGGTGTAAGCATCTGAAGTGATGTATTTCAGCACTTTGGAGCCTTACACGTCTGACTCAGCCCTTTGTCCTCTGACAGACTGAGTGCTCTGCAGTTTGTAGTTCAGCCTTTTCACATGAAACCTCAAAACACCTCAGAAAGACCTTTAATGTCTGCTCTGAACAGCCTCTGGCGACCTTCCTGTGCACCACTGCAGGCTCTGCTGCCGCTTTTCTCCTCTCTGACCCACTCTGCTCTGCTGCGTGGGGCAGGGAGGCAGAGGCACCGTGGCAATCTGCCAAGTTTTTATTGGCTCTTGGAACTTTTCCCCTCACAGGCTGTGGCCCACATCCTGCCCTTTCGGGATCAGAACCGACGGTTTCTGGACCCAATTTGGAACCGACATCATGTGGAAAGAGTGGAGGTTGTCTTGAAGGAGACTGTGGATGCTAAAGGTTGGTGAGGCATGTGCAGGGTGGGTGAGGCTCCTCAGCAATGGGGAGGTGGCCCTTGAGGTGCTGCTGGTACAGAAATACAAAAGGAACAGGTGAATGGTGTGTTGCTCCCTGGAAACAGAGAGGGACTGTCCCACCCTTCCTGTGCTGGAGACTGACTCACTTCCAGGTAGAATTGCTGCCTCTAAGGAAAAAATCCATTTGTAATTCATCTGGGAGAGGGGGCAGAATCCCCCCCTTTTTCTGCTGCAGAGCTCTGGGGGATTGCTGACCTTGCTATCCCAGGTCTTGGTCAACAGCCCTGGGTTTGGAATTGATGCAGTCTAAGGCCACTTCAGCTGTCCTGCTGTCCTGTCAGACCCCAGGCTCACCCGAGTGTGCCTTTGTACTGTTCTTTGGGAGGTGTTTGTGCATCTCCTGCCGGGATGTTTCTGTCCCTGGGCCAGTCTGGCTTTGCCTGCCTGTTTGTGTCCCCTCCTCTCTGTGGTAGGAGCACTGCAGAGGGACAGTCCCAGCCCAGAGAGGCGGCGTGGGGCTCCTGCTGAAGGACACGGCTGCACTGCCTGCCTGCAATGCTGCAGCATCCCCTCTGCAGTGCTCAGCACAAAGCTCCTGGGCTGGGCTGCTGCCTGCAGCACTCCTGGCCACGGCAGGTGCCCTGGCTGCTGCACCAGCAGGACTGCTTCCCCTTACCTGTGCCTCCCTCACTCAGCCACCACAGACTCAGTTAATGCAGTTTTGTCAAACTTGGGGTGGAATCTTTGGTTTGGCAGCCCAGAGCTCACCTGAGCCTGTTTGTGGGAGAGGGGTGCACTGCAGAGAGGTTTAGGGAGAGCTGCTTTGTCTGTGCACAGCTCCAGCTACTCCCTGTGCCCTCCCCCTCACTGAACAACTTTGTCATTTGATGTCATTTGTCATTTGATGTCATTTGATGTCTGTTTTCCCCTGTGCAGCTTCAGCTGGCAGCCTGGCTCCCAGCAAGTCTGCAGCATTGATCCCATTACTGAATGTGCCTTTGGACTGGGGGGGAGAGAAATGATCAGTCAGTGGGGGGAGCCTGTGCTCGTGATGCAGCCTGCTGCTGGTGACACACAGCCTTGAGTCACTCCAGCAGTGCACTGTCCTTCTGCCACTGTTCCCTCCTGCACGAGAAGCCAGGCAGGGAAAGGGAAGCGTGGCTCTGTGCACGAAATTTTGTCTCCCAAGGGTATGGCTCAGCCAGAGCCTTCTGAGGGCAGGAAAACCATCTCGTCCTGCTGCAAGCAGTGATAACTCCCACTAGGACAGGTTGCCCAAAGCCCTGTCCAACCAGACCCTGAACACAGCCAGTGCCAGGACACCCACAGCCTCGCTGAGCTGATTGCTTCAGGTTAATTGCTGGGTGGGGAGGAGAGGAGCTTGGAGCTTTGCTGTGCCTGGCCCCACGCTGAGATGCAGGCAGGGGAGCCAGGTCACCTGAGCAGCATTTTTCCTCCTCGCCGTGCCCAGGCCGCACCAGCTTCTACGAGCAGTACGGGGTGATCCGGGACGTGCTGCAGAACCACCTCACCGAGGCCCTGATGTTCCTCGTCATGGAGCTCCCTGCCAACGTCAGCAGCGCCCAGGAGGTGGTGCAGCACAAGCTGCAGGCCTTCCAGTCCCTGTGGGGGCTGCAGAGGGGCAGCGCCGTGCTGGGGCAGTACCAGGCCTACGACAGCCAGGTGCAGGAGGAGCTGCCCGAGGCGCGGGGCTACGTCAGCACCACACCAACCTTTGCAGGTGAGGCTTTGGGCTGGGCCCTGGCCAGGGGAGCAGTGAGAGCTGAGGAGAGCAGGAGCTGTGAGCGCTGCAGTACCAGCCCCATGGCCCTGGGGCTCACTGCTGGCTCTGGGATGTGCCCAGGCAACCACTGACCTGGTAACTGGGAGCTGGACAAAATAGTGCTGTTATTGTGTCAGTTAACCAGTGATCCAGGGAATGGGAAGTGTAAGGGCTAAGGCCTATTATTATAAGATCTCTGCAGTTTTTAGAAGTGGCCTGTAAACTCCTTTGCCTTCCCATAAACTTGAGTTGAGAGGTAAAGCTTTATTGTCTGTGATGAGTGAGCCACGAAGCCATCTCCAGCCATGCTGTGAGCATGAAGAGAATTGTCTAAATGATGCTCATGCTCAGAAACTGGTTTCCTGCCAGATGAAAGGAGGCTGAACAAGTGGGATAGCTGGGAGGGTGTGAGAATCATGGATGGCCTGTGTGGGAAGGGACCATGAAGATCATCGAGTTCTGGGTAGGCAGTGAAGTCATGGAAGGGCTGAATGTGGAGCTAGAGACACAGTGGCTACCAGAGGAGCTGAGGAGGTGGGCAGGTGCTGGAGATGACCCAGGAGTGCCTGCTGCTCAGGTGTGGTGGGTGTCTGTCCTTGCAGGAGTGCTGATCCACAGCCACAGCCCGCGCTGGGAAGGGGTCCCGTTCCTCCTCACCTCCGGGAAGGCTCTGGATGAGCGGGTGGGCTACGCCCGCGTCCTCTTCAGGAGCAGGGCCTACTGCCCTCAGAGCGGCACTCTGAGGGATGCAGGGCTCAGCCAGTGTAAACCCAAGCAGATCATCTTCTACTTCGGGCACGGCGCTCTCAACACCCCTGCTGTGCTGGTGAGCAGGAACCTCTTCCAGCCTGCCATGCCCAAAGACAGCTGGAAAGAAGCGGGGGCTCGGTCAGACCTGCACGTCTTCGGACAGCCACTGTCTGATTTCTACGTGTACAGCCCTGTGAAGGAGAGGGATGCCTATTCCGTCCTCATCTCCCACATCTACCACGGCAGGAAGGATTTCTTCATCACCACGGAGAGCCTGCTGGCCTCCTGGGCCTTCTGGACCCCTCTGCTGGACAGCACCTCCCGCCAGCCCCCGCGCCTCTACCCCGGGGGCGTGGAGAACCAGCAGCTGCTGGACTTCGAGATGGTGCCCGGGGGAGTGGCGTTCACCCTGCCAGAGCCAGCAGAGCTGCTGAACCCCAGCGGGCAGCTGCCAAGTGACTTCAGGGCCATCCAGTCCAAATTCCGGCAGAGCCCGCTGGTCTCGGCCTGGGCCGAGGAGCTGATCGCCCAGCTGGCCTCCGACATGGAGGAGGCGGCCGTGAGGAGCGTGGCCCGCTCGGGGCAGTTCCACCTGGCCCTGTCGGGCGGCTCCAGCCCCGTGGGGCTGTTCCAGAGGCTGGCCAGGCACCACTACAGCTTCCCCTGGCAGCACAGCCACGTGTGGCTGGTGGACGAGCGCTGCGTGCCCCTGACCGACGGCGAGTCCAACTTCCTGGGCCTGCACCGGCACCTCCTGCAGCACGTCAGGGTGCCCTACTTCAACATCCACCCCATGCCCGTGCACCTCAACCGGCGCCTCTGCGTGGAGGAGGACGGCGGCGCCGAGCTCTACGCCAAGGACATCGTGGCCCTGGTGGCCAACGCCAGCTTCGACCTGGTGCTGCTGGGCGTGGGCGCGGACGGGCACACGGCCTCGCTCTTCCCCCGCTCCGAAAGCGGCCTGGAAGGGGCTCCCACCGTGGTGCTGACCGAGAGCCCCGTCAAGCCTCACCAGAGGATGAGCCTCAGCCTGCCCCTCATCAACAGGGCCCGGCGGGTGTTCGTGCTGGTCCTGGGCAAGGGCAAGCACGACATCACCACGCTGCTCAGCAGGGTGGGCCGCGAGCCCCGCAAGTGGCCGATCTCGGGCGTCAGCCCCAGCTCTGGCCAGCTGGTCTGGTACGTGGATTACGAAGCTCTGCTGGGGTGATGCCTGGCGGCGTCCCTCCCGCCTCGTCCGCGTGGCCTGGCTTGTCCTGCACCGTGTCCTCGTTGCCAGCAGCAGCCTCACCCCTGACCCTCCCTTCGGGGACATGCACGGCCTGCGGCAGCGCTGGGCTGGAGCCTGGGGGAGCCGGGCTCAGGGGGCAGAGCTCAGGAGGAGCCAGAGCCCAGTGCAGCCTCTCTGGCTCTGCTCCGGGCCCTCACTGGGACTTTGGACAAATTGCTTCACCTTGAAGTGCCTCAGTTCTCCTGTCAGGCCTTACTGGCATGTCACTACCTCACAGGCGCTTCGGGGGGCTTGTTAAATCAACTGCCTGCCAAATTCTTTCTAATTTTATGTAATTCTCAGGCTAAAAGACAACAGTACCACATTCGTCCCTGCCCTGCTCAGCCTGGCTGGGCCAGAGTTGTTGTGTCAGGGCAGTGATGGTGGTGTGCACGTGGATGTGTAACCCTGGGTGTTTTGGGGCTCTGAAAATAAGGGGGGCAGGCTACTCAGCCTGGCTGGGCCAGAGTTGTTGTGTCAGGGCAGTGATGGTGGTGTGCCCTGGATGTTTTGGGGCTCTGAAAATAATGGGGGGCAGGCTGAGGAGTGTGGCAGCTCACACAGCTGCTGTTTGCCAGCACTGCAATAATTACTGAGGGAAAGCTTGGTGCTCAGAGCAATTGTTGGGTTTAGCTAGCAGAGAAATCTTCTATTTTTAAGCAAAAGATGCCCGCGTTAACTTCATTCCAGTTCTTTTGTATTTGGTGTGAGGGAACAAGTTTTAATGAAAAAGTGACCTATGAGAGAGTAACTATATTGTTATGAATAAGAGTTTATTCCTGTCTTACAGGTGACTGTGGCATTAGAGTTTTCTTATTTTTGCACACTCGCTTGGTAATATGTGGCTGGCAACTCTTGAAATGAACACTGAAAGCTTTATTTGCACTTTGAAATTAGCACGTGGGTTTTTCCCCAGGGAGCTACTGTTTTTGCAGGTGAAAATAGGGTTTATTTCTGAAGTCTCTATCTAGTGGGTCACCCCAAAAGGTATCCGAGATTTTATTAAAATCCATTAAAAGTTTCCACATGTTTTCCTTGGTGAATGGAGCTATCTAGGTTGTTTGGGGGATTTTTCAGAAGGGTATTTTTTTTCCACACAGACAGTTTCTGTTGAACTCTTTAATACTTAGCATTTGCTAAATGAAAACCAAATATTTTTGAATATACAAAATTTATGACTGGAAAGAGAGAGACTGGATGGGAAGAAGGGTTAAATGAGCAACAAATCTGATGAGGAGGAATGGTAGCAATCCACCGGGCTGATGGCCAAGGAAGCAGGGCTATTTTTATTTTGTGAAAGTTATTAATAGAAGGTGTTCACCTTCTTGAGAGCTTGTATTAACCTTTCTTTGCAAAGGCAGCTCCATGGAGTAACTTCTTGCAGTCTGTTTCTCCCATAAGTGATTATTGATACTAAATTTTATTCATTTTTTTAAAAATCAAGTGCATTCCTACAATTCAATGGTATGATTATATGTTTTACAGAAAACAAACACTGGAAATAACTAATTTTTCACTTCAACTTTTATAAATCAAATTGTAAAAATTTTTTTCCCATGAGTAAAGTTTTGTGATTCTTTTCATGTTGTTTAATGAATAAAGAATTATATTTATTAAAAAATAAGTAGTTTTTAACCAGAAGTGTCTTTTAATTTCTTCCAGAGATGGGTGGTCTTTCCCTGTCCTCCTGCTGAGTGAAGTTGTAGGGTTTTAGTTGTGCAAAGTGGACAATGTCGCTGCAGTATTAAATGTTCACTCTGACTCTTGCTTTTTGTTTTTTCTTTTTGTTGTCTCGTCCAGGCAAGGCCAGGACTTTTCAAAACAAGGAGCAGCCAAAGCCCTTTTAAGGTGAGAAGATGGAATCACCCAGTGCTGTGCAGGGTGCTGGGATGGCCAGGCTCAGGAAAGCTTCCCCTGATCCACTTTTGCTCTGAGTTGCATTTCCATGGACCCTGTCAGCACAGCACAGAGCAGAGCAGCCCCTGCTGAGTGTCCAGCACTCAGAGCTGCCCTGGCTGAGTGTCCGAGTGTCCAGCACAGAGCTGCCCCTGCTCAGGGTCCAGCACGCAGAGCTGCCCCTGCTCAGGGTCCAGCACGCAGAGCTGCCCCTGCTCAGGGTCCAGCACGCAGAGCTGCCCCTGCTCAGGGTCCAGCACGCAGAGCTGCCCCTGCTCAGGGTCCAGCACGCAGAGCTGCCCCTGCTCAGGGTCCAGCACGCAGAGCTGCCCCTGCTCAGGGTCCAGCACGCAGAGCTGCCCCTGCTCAGGGTCCAGCACGCAGAGCTGCCCCTGCTCAGGGTCCAGCACGCAGAGCTGCCCCTGCTCAGGGTCCAGCACGCAGAGCTGCCCCTGCTCAGGGTCCAGCACGCAGAGCTGCCCCTGCTCAGGGTCCAGCACGCAGAGCTGCCCCTGCTCAGGGTCCAGCACGCAGAGCTGCCCCTGCTCAGGGTCCAGCACGCAGAGCTGCCCCTGCTCAGGGTCCAGCACGCAGAGCTGCCCCTGCTCAGGGTCCAGCACGCAGAGCTGCCCCTGCTCAGGGTCCAGCACGCAGAGCTGCCCCTGCTCAGGGTCCAGCACGCAGAGCTGCCCCTGCTCAGGGTCCAGCACGCAGAGCTGCCCCTGCTCAGGGTCCAGCACGCAGAGCTGCCCCTGCTCAGGGTCCAGCACGCAGAGCTGCCCCTGCTCAGGGTCCAGCACGCAGAGCTGCCCCTGCTCAGGGTCCAGCACGCAGAGCTGCCCCTGCTCAGGGTCCAGCACGCAGAGCTGCCCCTGCTCAGGGTCCAGCACGCAGAGCTGCCCCTGCTCAGGGTCCAGCACGCAGAGCTGCCCCTGCTCAGGGTCCAGCACGCAGAGCTGCCCCTGCTCAGGGTCCAGCACGCAGAGCTGCCCCTGCTCAGGGTCCAGCACGCAGAGCTGCCCCTGCTCAGGGTCCAGCACGCAGAGCTGCCCCTGCTCAGGGTCCAGCACGCAGAGCTGCCCCTGCTCAGGGTCCAGCACGCAGAGCTGCCCCTGCTCAGGGTCCAGCACGCAGAGCTGCCCCTGCTCAGGGTCCAGCACGCAGAGCTGCCCCTGCTCAGGGTCCAGCACGCAGAGCTGCCCCTGCTCAGGGTCCAGCACGCAGAGCTGCCCCTGCTCAGGGTCCAGCACGCAGAGCTGCCCCTGCTCAGGGTCCAGCACGCAGAGCTGCCCCTGCTCAGGGTCCAGCACGCAGAGCTGCCCCTGCTCAGGGTCCAGCACGCAGAGCTGCCCCTGCTCAGGGTCCAGCACGCAGAGCTGCCCCTGCTCAGGGTCCAGCACGCAGAGCTGCCCCTGCTCAGGGTCCAGCACGCAGAGCTGCCCCTGCTCAATGTCCGAGTGTCCAGCACACAGATCTGTCCCTGCTCAGTCTGCAGCACACAGAGCTGTCCCGGCTCAGTGTCCAGCACACCGAGCAGCCCTCGTTTGCAGAGGAATCGCTGCTGTGCCTTTCCTCGCTCCTCTCTGCAAGCCCAGAGCCGCTCTGGAGGCAGCAGAGGGTGCTGCTTGCCCGTGCTGCTGGGAGCCTTTCCCAGCCCTGTCGTGCCGGAGGAGCCCGGCTGTGTGTGACACCAGCGCAGGGGTGTCGGGAGTGGCCCCTTTGTGCACCTGCAGGACTGTGCCAGCAGTGAACCACTGTGGTTTCGGGGTGCTCCCCTCGTGAGGAGACAGTCACCGACAGTACCTCAGGTGACTCGGCCCTGCTGGGGTTGTAAGTGCTGCTCTAAGGACAGGGAGGAAATTCTGCTCCCGTTACATATATCCCATCCTTTAAGGCACCCTCACATCCAGCACCCTGTGCTGAGACAGAAAGGCAGAGGAGTCGTGAGAGGAGCATCACAGCACGACTCTGCTCTCCAGGTGAACGCAAAGCAAAATACCTGGGTTCTGCTTTCTTATTTTTATTTTTTATGAAGGGTTTCGTTTCATTCAGCAGCTGCATTTACTTGTGTTGCAGTGTGTGAAGTGCTGTGCTGGCTGTGCTGGCATCTCAGTTCTCAAGAAGGGACTAAAACGAAGATAACCACTTCTTTTTCCTGCAAAGCGCCCCTGGGGAACACCTCTTTTTTCTCCTCCATCCCACTCTCTTTTACTCCCTTCTCCACCCCATCTTCCAGCTGGGCAGGGTTTGTTGATTGTGCTCTGGGCAGGCTTGGCAGTGTTTCTCCCTGGTGTTTTCACAGCCCCTCTGTCCTGCAGCACACTGGGCTGCTTCGGCTTTGCGGCTGCACTCACAGGCTCTCGTTGTTCCTCTGTGCTGCAGTGTGTCCCTCAGAGCCCGCAGGCACAGCCTGCATGCAGCAGGGACGTGTTTTGGGGCAGAGTGGCTGCTCTGCTGCTCTCCCCAGGGCACAGGGAGCTCGGGCTCTCTGCCTGTCCTGCTGGGTACAGCAACAGGATCCCCTCTGCTGCTGCAGCCCTCAGCCTCCCGCTGCAAGGGCAGTGCCACCCAGGCAGAAAACACATCCAGAGTCTGCTCCAGCCTCACAGTCCATGCTGAGAGTCCAAAGGATTTAAATATTTGACTCCAGACATTCAAAAGGGACGCAGTTGTCAGAAGGTGGATGCTCATCCCCATGCAGACCCCAGAGCTGATCTGCAGCGCTGAATGCTGACCACAAGAAAGCAGGCATGCCAAGCCATTCCTCCTCCCACCTTCCTTTTGATAGTCTCAGCATAAATTCACAAGGATGGGAGCTGGAAAAGTCTCTGCTGATCCAGGCTCCATCCCCAGTCAGTCAGAGGGATCCCACTGCAGGCCACAAACTCTGGCCCCTGTCAGTCACCTCCCTCTGCCTCAGTTTGTGCTGTTGTTTGAGATGGAGACAGTGCCCAAAGCAAGTGGCTGAAGATCAGCAATCCCTATTTCTTGAGGAAGCAAGAAAGTCAAATATTAAGGAAATAAAAGCAGACAGGATTCCATAGGAGCTGTGATCTCATCTGGCGAGAAGCCACCACAAAGCTGAGAAGTTCTGCTTCAGCACTTGTCACGTCTGGTTTCCTCCAGCTTCCCTGCTGCTCCTCTCACTCCTCCACCCCACTTCTCCCTGAAATTAGTTGGGGAAAGTAACTTAAATATGAGCAGGACCAAGCCAAAGCAAAGTAGTTTTGAAAAAGCTACCCAGATATGTATCTGTTTGACACAAACCCTCCTATTTTTATTTTGCAGGGTGTGAAAGAATATATTTGTGCTGTATCCACAATCTCCACGGTGTTTCTGGTCAGCTAGAGTAATACATTTATTCTGATGTGAATGTGTTTTTTTTTGAAGGACCACAGTCCACTGACCAGCCTGTCAGTCACAGGCTGATCTGGTCAGCTAGAGTAATACATTTATTCTGATGTGAATGTGGGTTTTTTTGAAGGACCACAGTGGCTGGCATAGAGCAACTGTTCCCCACAGATATCAAAATATGCTCAACAAATTAGTGAATGAACAGTGCTTTTTTTCTCACGTATGCCCCAAGACCATCAGTGACGAGAAATGTCAAGACCCATGCTCATGTCCAATCCCAAAAAACAATGAGTGCAGCAGCGTGCAGGGGCATTCATTCCACAGTGACTCAGATGGCAGGCTGCCACCTCCTGAATCACACAGCACTTCCTGCAGCTCCTAGGTGGTCCTTGGAGGTATCCCTGCAGTATGGCTTGCTGAATTTATGACAATCCACGGCTTTACAGCTCGAGCAGTATTGCTACAAACCAGTCCTTTTGTCTGGAAGCACTGAAAAATTAATCACCTCCAAGGGGCACTACCGGGTCAGATTTGTCCAAAGGGCTGTTTTTGGAATGAGGACTGAAATGAACAGAACTGTACTTCCCAGGTTTATTTCGGTAAACAAATGAGTCTTTAAAAAGCAAATAGCCATTCCCAGGAGTGGCTGAAACAAATCACAGAATCGGTTAGGTTGGAAAAGCCCTCTGAGATCCCCGAGTCCATCCTGTGACATAACACCACCACGTCAACCGGAGCATGGCACCGAGCGCATTCCCTAAACACCTCGGGGCACGGAGACTCCGCCAGCTCCCCGGGCAGCCCTTCCCGTGCCCGACCCCCCTTCGTGTGCAGAAATGCGGAACACCGTGTGCCTGTGCGGACACCGAGGATGGACACCGAGGGGTGCCCGCACGGAGATCCCCAGCGCCACGCCCGGGGCTGCCCGCTGTTCCCAGCCGCTCCTGGAGCGAGGGTGGCACAACGGCACCGAACAGCCCAGATTGCACACAAAACGGTGCCGCCTGCGGCCCGGGGATGGGCACAGGGGCGGCCGCGGCGGGGCTGTCGCTGTGCCCGCGATCGCGACCTCCGCCGGCGGCAGCGCCCCGGCCCCGCTGCTCCCCGAACCGATGCTCCGCGATCCGGTGCTCCCGGCCCCGCTGCTCCCCGGCCCTGCTGCTCTCCGAACCGCGGCTCCCCGGCCCGCTGCTCCGCGAACCGATGCTCCGCGATCCGGTGCTCCCGGCCCCGCTGCTCCCCGAACCGATGCTCCGCGATCCGGTGCTGCCGGCCCCGCTGCTCCCCGAACCGATGCTCCCGGCCCCGCTGCTCCCGGCCCCGCTGCTCTCCGAACCGCGGCTCCCCGGCCCCGCTGCTCCCCGAACCAATGCTCCGCGATCCTTTGCTCCCGGCCCCGCTGCTCCCGGCCCGCTCCGCAGCTTCCCCCGCCGGTCCCGCTGCTCCCGGCCCTGTTCTCTGCTCGGTTCCGCTCCGTTTCCAGCCCTAGCGGGGCCATGGTCCGGCGGGCAGCCCGGGCACGGTAGGAGCCGGGGGCCGGGCGGTGCGGGGCGGCTCCGCGGCCTCTCCGTGCCCGCCGAGCGCGGCCGGGCAGGGCCCGCGGGCGGTGCCAGCTGCGGAGCCGGGGCGAGGCCGAGCGGTGGCCGCAGCCCTGCCGGGGCCCGGTGCTGGCAGCGGGGAGCGGCCCGGGACCCTGATGGGGCGAGGGGCCCCGGGGGGCGCTGATGATGGGGTGGTGGCCCCGGGGGGCTCTGATGATGGGGTGATGGCCCGGGGGGCTCTGATGATGGGGTGCTGGCCCCGGGGGGCGCTGATGATGGGGTGATGGCCCGGGGGGGCTCTGATGATGGAGTGCTGGCCCCGGGGGGCTCTGATGATGGGGTGATGGCCCGGGGGGCACTGATGATGGGGTGCTGGCCCCGGGGGGCGCTGATGATGGGGTGGTGGCCCCGGGGGGCTCTGATATGGGGTGATGGCCCCGGGGCTCCGCAGCCGCGCCGGGGATGCCGCGGGAGGGGCGGCTGCCGGAGCCCGGTACCGTGTGGGTTCGGGGGGCAGACACCGGTAACCGGTGCGGGTCGCTCGGTACCGTGGGGGTTCGGGGAGCAGACACCGGTAACCGGTGCGGGGTCTGCGGTTACCGCGGGGGTCCGGAGCACACCTTACAAGGTCTGGTTACTGTGTCTCGTCTCTTACTACATGAACCTCTGCGAACACAACGGGGCTTTACATAATCCTCTATCTGAAGGCCCTGGACTGCCGTTATAAGGTCAGCCTTGCTGTAGCCTCCTGCTGGACCGTGCTGTGTTTTGTCCTTATTCCCTGGCTGAAGTGGGCAGCCAGGGTGCCTGGTGGCCGTGCCTGACTCAAAAACTGTCAATTGTGTGAGCCGTGGCTCGAGATAAGGAAGTTTACAAAATGATTGTAAAAGTGGGAGTTGCTCCTTGGAGATAGATCATCTCTTTCTTTTTTTTTTTTTTTTTTTTTTTTTTTTTTTTTCCATGGTAGCAATGCAGGATGGCTCAATGAACCTTTTGTCCCAGGAGTAATCTGCGTCTTTCCCACCCCTCTAACATCTGATTTCTACACCAGATGCAGCGTTGCAAAGCTCAGTAGCACAGACAGCTGAGTCTTGCTGGTGTAAGTTGGCTGCTGCATCATCAGGACCACACTGGGCAGAGCCTCCAGGGCCTTACAGTGAGAGTGGTCTGGCCATGGGATGGTCAGAGTGGCTCTCCCAGCCTGCAAGGAAAGATTTTTCCGTGGTGAGTTAATTAGGGAACAGCCAGGAATGCCACAGAGCCGTGCTGCTGTTTGCAGAAGTGGAGGAGCATCTTCCCTGAGCTGTCACCTGTCACTGTGCTGGCCCTGCCAGGCTCTCAGTAGTGGTGCTGATGGATGCATCAAGCAGCAATTTGCTCTTCACCTCCCTTGAAGGCAGGGGATGAGCTGCAGCAGTGTGTTCCTCAGGGGATGCTGGGTTGTTGCAGTGCAGCAGCCTTTGCAGCCTCTCTCCTCTGCTCTGGAGGTTACTGAAGTGCACTATAATGTGCTTTGGGGCTTGTTTGTAAACTGCTGGATGCTGCTGGGACGTGGGCTGCTGTTCCAGGAACTGTTCAGCTGTGCTCGTGTGCAGGCACTCGCTGCTGCTGGAGGTGGGGACTGGCCTCTGCTTGTTGCTCTCCTGTCTCTGGGTTGCTTTTTTCCCCGTGGACCCTGTTTCCTTTCCTCAGAAAAAGTGAAAGCAGCCTGCAAGGTCTGCTTGTCTTGTGAGGGCTAATTAAGAATTCATTAAGTTCCTGGAATTTAAAATCTGTAGCTAATGAGCCAGTGAGGCCACTGTGCCAGGTTTTGGGACTGCGTGCAGACAGTGCTGACAGATAATACTCCAAGTCACAATGTAGCTTTTGAAGAATACAAGATGTGGATTGGAGTGTGTTCTGTGGCTCTCTGTGGTTTGTGTTTTGGTCAGATTTTGTGGCTGATGCCTCTGCATACACTGGAATTGGCTTTGGTGGGCTCTGAGAGGCCAGTGCAAGTGGTGGTTGTAATTTTGGGCTTTAGTACTTACTGAGCCTGGAGTCACCCAGGGCTGGTGTTGACAGGGGCTGAGGATTGACTGGGGCTGGCAGGCAGTACCAGTGAGATGATTTCAGCTGGGCTGAGCTTATCTTCATGTCCTGTGGCAGGAGCCTTGTACTTGCATTAACTGGCAGGGCAGCTCAGCACATCAGCAGTGAGGAGCAGCCTGAGCTGTGAGCTTCCCACACTGGTACTTGCATTAACTGGCAGGGCAGCTCAGCACATCAGCAGTGAGGAGCAGCTGACAGAGCTGTGAGCTTCCCACACGGGTCTGTGGAGCTGCTGCCCCGGTCCTTTGTGTTTCCAGGTGTGTGATGGAGCTCATACCCACAGCTTGCCTTGCCAAGTCACGAGTCAGACACCAGTTGCTTTCAGACAAAGCTCTGTGATGCCTGCAGAGTAAAAGTGAGTAAGTGTCTGGTACCAGACTGCAGGCACTGGCTTCCTTTGCTGGTGGCCTTTGCAGAATGAGCTCATGTCAAGGTGTTGACTCACTTTCAGTCACTGCACTGCTCTGGAAAACAAAGAAATCTTCCCTTGGGTTACTCCATGTCAGTAACTGCTGAGGCTGCCCCTGTTTCCATGAATAATTGCTGGGGGAAGAGTGCAGTTGTCCTTAACAAAGATGAGATGTGGCCTGCAGGTAATGGCCAAATACTCTCTGCTGAGTGTGAGAAAATCCAGCTAAAAAATAGCAAAAAGATGATGCCTTGTCATCCTCCCTTCTGGTTTTAGGTGTTGTACTTCAGCAGCATTGCAGGTCAGATTCAGAGTCTTTTGGGTTAGCATCTTTTTCTCATTTAGTAGAGAAACAGCCACATGTCTTTGCCTTAGCTTTTTTCCTTAACACTGGAGGGTCTCGTGCACTGATATTTCCTTGTCTCATGGCTTTGTGAGTTTTTTCTGTTCTAGAAGATGGGAAGACAGACTTGAAGCTGAAGCAGCGCTGCTGCTGTGTAACAGTAAAACCTCCCCTGGGAGGAGAAAGTGACACATTTCTTTGTTCTCTTACAAAGCTTTCTCTTTCAGGAGAAAGCTTTTTACTTAAACAAACAAACAAAAGCACCCCAACAACCAGCACCATCTGTCAGACACCAGAGCGAGAGCAGTTGAGAGCTTTGGGGCAGAAGGTGGTGATGTCTGAATGGAGTTACCAAACATGGGCTTTTTCTTTTAGCCTGCAAGGGGAATTTGATGAAGCTTCTAAGTCGGAGCAGCTGTGTGGATGTTAGCTTCAAACTGCTTTCTTTGGAGAGCTGGTATGTTATCAAGTCAGGAATCTGTCCTGAGGAGATCCCAGATGGGGCCTTGACACCATAAATGTACAAAGGCACTCAGTTGCACAAAAACTGCAGAAACAACTTCGTTCTGAAGAACGTGAGCCACAGATGGTAAACTGCCAAGAAAAGCAAGCAAGGGGTAAGGCCAAGGCGTTCTCTACATGAGAAGGCTGCATTGGTCTCAGATGTTTGGAAATTCTTGGTGCAAGCTTCTCCGTGGATAAATTCTGCTCTGAATGGCCTCTTGTAAATTAAAATCTACTTGCTGCAGAGATGTGAGAAATGCCTGCACCCTAACTATAGTGATTGCAGGTTAGTAGCAGGCCCTGGAGTTTGCCAGGCGTGGTTCTTGCCCTGATGCCCTGATTCATTGCTGGGTGGCACGTCGGGCCCCTGGCTCTGTGCTGCATTGCTGCTCAGTGAGAGGAGAACAAGAATGACTCCTGAAATGCTTGCACACAGTAGCCTGTGGTCCTTCCTGCTGGGGGTGAGGGGTGGATGGCGTTGTGCTGTGCTGGCAGCAGCTCCACGTGGAGAACCTCCCTGGATATTCAGTCAGCCCTGGAGTCTCACTGGATATTCAGTGCTCTTTGAAGGCTAAACCAGTCATGTTTACATGTGGACAGTGAGGGAGGGGCTGCTTTGTCCACACTAATCCCAGGGCAGTCATGCATCTGGGGCTTGAAGGTTCAAGAGGAGCCCATGTGAAGAAATACTCAGAGTTGTGTGACCAGCTGGTGAGGGGTGAGCTGAACGGGGAGGGCTCGTGTCTGTGTCCCAGTTCCTGTAAACTGCAGCAGCTGCAGAATAAACCTGCTGACCCTTGTGCAGAGAAGGGCTGTGGGCCTGTGTGGATGCAGAAAGTACCTGGCTTGATGCCTGTGGGCAGGAAATGGGGATGCTTGGACTGTGTGTTCCGGGCTGGTGTGACAGGCGCGAGCTGCTGCAGGCTGTGCTGTCCCCTCTGTCGGGGTTCTGAGCTGCCCTGCCTGGTGTCCCCACAGTGTCACTGCTCGTGTTCTGTGCAGCTGGAACAGGCTGGAGCTGGGGGTGGGAGTGAACCAGACTATTGGATGTTAATGTGCAGTGAGCCAGGGCGCTGCTTTTCCCTCTGTTACTCCCCATTCCTCACCTCGCAGCGTTCCCATGCTGTGCTCCCCTCTGGCAGGGGTCAGATGGGCAGCTGGGAGAGGTTCCAGCCCCAGAGCTGGCCCTGGGGCTGATTCAGGGACAGGCACCTGCCAGCCCCGCTGGGTCTGCAGGGCAGGAGGGCTGCACCACGGCCCTGGCTGCTGCAGGATGTTGCTGCAAGGCTGGGAACGTGGCACGCTGGCCTGCCAAGCTGCACAATTCAAAAGGGGCAGCCAATCTGCTGTTGGGAGCTTGGGTGGTGGTGGAAATCTGGGAGTGGAGACAGACCAACACCAGACTGTGCTCCTGGGGTTCCAGGCTGGGGGTTGGACTTGCTGAAGGTTGAGATGGGGAGAGGAAAAAGGGCAAGGTGTGTATCTTGTGTTTTTGAATGTGTCAGTGACTGAGCTCCATCCTGGGACTTGGGTACTGTCACTTCTTGAGAGCTGCCTTAGTTAATTATCTTCAGGTGATCCACTCAAGGACCAACAAGCTGCTGAATAGTTGGATTTTTTAAAGTGTGTCAAGGAGCAGTTTTGGAGGGAGTGGAGAGCTTTCCTGGGGGCTCACTCAGCTGCATCTTCCCTGTTTCACTGGCACTGGTGTTGGTGTGGCTGTGCTGCTGTTCCTGGCTAGCAGGGTGTCAGGGGGCTGCAGGTGTTGCCTTCTGGTGACCCTGTTGAAGGGGCAGCTCCTGTGTGCCCACAGTGCCCACGCAGGTCCAAATCTGCACTTGTGGCACGAGTGACAATAACGTTAAATAACTTAAATCCCAGCCTTTATCTGGGTAATCTGCCAGAGCCTGGTGTGGCACGGAACTGGATTTGCAAGAGGCACAGCTCTGTGTGCCAACACTTCCAGGGGGAGGGGACACCTGGTGAGGTTGCCTGGAAGGAGCAGTGCCCACAGCTGCAGGGAGGCTGGCACTGTGCAGTGCTCACACCTGCAGGGAGGCTGGCACTGTGCAGTGCCCACAGCTGCAGGGAGGCTGGCACTGTGCAGTGCCCACAGCTGCAGGGAGGCTGGCACTGTGCAGTGCCCACAGCTGCAGGGAGGCTGGCACTGTGCAGTGCCCACACCTGCAGGGAGGGTTGTGCAGTGCTCTCTGCAGAGCAGGGCACTGCTGCCAGGGAAGCTGTGACCTCCAGGTGTTTTCCAGCCAGTCTGCTGCTGGGCTTTGTTCACTTTGGAAGGGACTCGGTGCTGCTGGGTGCACATCAATGCATGCCTGGTGTATCTCTCCTCTAAGGACCTCCTGCTGCATTTTCTGCAGAAGGGAACTCGGCTGTGGCTCAGGAGGTGCCTTCCATCTTTGTCCTTGGTGGAGGATGTGGCTCCTGGGGCAGGAGCCTGCACATTGGGACATGGCAGCAGCCCCTGACTAAGCTGAGCAGGTCAGGCTTTAGGCCAGAGTGTGGCAAGGCTTTTGGGATGCACCTGGGAACAGGCAAGAGCAGAACGGGGTATGTGTCTTATCCTCTGGGACAATTATAGCAATGCTTGTCTGTTCAAATGGAGGAGAATTGCAAGTTTTGGTAAGAAATCAGAACTGAGTGGCTCCTGGAGCTTTAGGGAGAAGAGATTTCTTGATGCAGGTGGGCACTGGAGAGCAGCGTGCTGTGTGTCAGGGCTGAGGAGAATTCCCCTGTGTATTTAAGACAGGAAAATGGGGTTGAAGCTTACAGCCACTCGTGTGGAGAGGAAGGTGTCACAACCAGCACTTGTTCAGAGGCATGTGCTCTTATGCTATTTGGATTAGGCTGTCTTCAAACTTGGCAAAAACACCACCTGAGGCTCAGTCTAGACTGCTTCTGGAAGAATCCTTGGCCTCATGGGAATCTCCATCTCAAGGTGCAGAGCAGCACAGCAGAAGGCACAGCAGGGATTGTGTTGGCATAAAACCCTACTCAGCAGGAAAACATTCAGCATGCTCTCTAATCTTGTTTTGGCACGTTTGAGAGGAGCACAGGAGGAGTCTGAGCAGAAGTGGTGTCTGACCCAGGCTTGTGGTGCCAGGTGGAAGTCCTGGGGTCCAGGGGGACAGAGCTGATGGCCCAGCTGGTGACAGGGTGGCTTTGCAGGACCCTCAGTGGAACCCTGTTTTACCTAGAGTCTGACAGAAGAGCTGGGCAGTCCAATTATCCGTGCTTGGATGGATTTCTCCAGGGTGAGCAGCTCCACAGGCAGCTCTGGCCAGTCCTGGCTGATTTCTCCAAGGGTTGGTGTTACCTGTGGGGTTCAGCTGGTGCTCCCATTGAATGTCAGCAGCAGCAGTGTGATGGGCTGACTGCAGGAACAAAACCTCAAGGTGAGTTTAGTCTGGTGTGAGGTTTTAATGGAGGAAAAGGCTGTTGGATGTGGTGGCTTTGTTCGATGTTCCAGACAGTTTACATCTGTCCCGTGTTGGGGACGTTGTGGTGCACTGGGTGGTGGGTGGCAGTGGCTTTCTCACTGCTTTCTAACTGGTGTTTGCACACAGCAAATCTCAGCCAAGCCTGCTCCAAAGGAGGAATCAGAACTTCAGCAGCAGCCAAGGAACAGCTGAACATACTTAGAGACTGAGCAGCCCAGAAAAGACAGAAGCCTACACACTGGAGGCAGCATGACTGCCTTACCTCTGCTCTTCTTGATCTCTAAACCTTGAAAAAGCAAGGCAGCTTCTCTTTTCTGCTTGTTGAGTGCATCTTGCTTAAGAACAGATCTCCTGACTGTTTCTACAAGGCTTCTTAATTTCTATTTCTTAACTTCTATTAATCTGTCTCAAACCTGGTTTTTCTAACTGGAAACTTTCCATTGATGTCATGGGAGCTTTCCGTGGCCCACATCAAATAGCTGGGTTCACCAGGAATTAAGTGACTCTACAAATGTTTATGTTAAACACTTATTTGGAAGGCATGTTGACTTATGAGGACCTGTGGTGGCTGTGGTATGTAGGGAGGCTAGGTTGGCTGTACAGCTTTTGTCTTGCCTTTGAAGGCTGGAAGTGCTGGCAGCTGTTTAGAGGCCAGATAAGGGCTCAGGAGTGTTTCATCACTGACTCCTGCCCTGGTTCTTGTCTCCTGCACTGCAGAGGTCTCCCAGTGGGTCACCTTCATGGAGAGGATGGCCAAGTCTGGATAGTCACAGCAGAAAGCTGTTGG